CATTACAAGCATTCTCTCTAAGAGCAGGGACTATTAACCTTGTTGCATAGGTAATGAAACAGATTCACACTCAGATCTGGCAGCCCCCCAAGCTCAGAACTTCCACGGTACTCTACAAACCTCAGGAAGATTGGCGGACTGCTGCTACTCACTGCCAGAAGAGAAATTCTGGGATTATTTTAGCATCAGATCAGACAAACATTAAAAATAGAAAATCTTGTCTGTCTTAGGAGTATTTGTTGTAAGTACGAGGAACCAAACTATAGGGATATGAATGGTACTTGGCTAATGATAACTGAGACCTGAAAAACAAGGTGTGAACAGCTCAGGAGTGGATGATTCTCTAGGAATAAAAATAGTAATAACAGCCGACCCTTATAGGATGCCTGCTTCGTGGCAGGTGCTGTTCTAAGCCTGGCAGGCAAAATAACTCATTTAATCTTCACAACAACTGTGTAAGGTAGGTGCTATCATTCTCCCCGTTTTACAGACAAGGAAACAGGCACAGAACTGTGATGCTCAAACATGGGAAAGAAGTCCAGAGGCAGGCAGACCACAGCTGACTCTGTCACCCACATCCCAAGTTCCCCCTGTCTGCTGCACCACCATCCTCGTCACCTGGCTAACAGTCACTTAAAGCAGCAGAGACTGATGTGGCACCATCTGTCCTACCTGTAGGCCAGGCGGAAAGAAGGAAGGCCCTTGCAGAGCGTTTCCCCAAAAGTCCCCAGATGGCTCCCTCCCTCCTCGCACTGACCACGCCTGTCTGAAAGGCTAGGAACGGCTTGGAGCAGGGCACAGGGCCCCAGCCCACCCCAGGTTCCTCCCGGAAGGAGGAGGCAGGAATGAAGTGAGGAGGCAGCACTGCGTAGGCGGCTCCTGGTCTGACACAGCTCTGGCTGACTTCAGCAAAACCAGGAGAAACTTTATTGCAAGGATCCGGGAGGGGGTGGCTCATGGCAGTAGGAGGTAGTCAGACCTCAGGAAAGGGCTAGAACTGGGAACTGGAAGGCTGTCGGCATCCCAGAGTTTCTGCTCCCTGTCTCCTGTCGCTGGTCTCTGCCTTCAGATTGTCTTTGCTCCTCTCCTCAGCCCATGTGACAGGTGGGAGATGCCACGCCACCCTCCCACATTACGTGTTCCAGGTTCCTTTAGAAAGACTAACATGACCCTGGAGGGAGGGGTGGTTACACACTCAAATTGCAGTGGGAGAGCATCTGATTGATGTGTTTGAACCACATGCCTATCCTTGGTGCAGCAGCTATCATGGGGTGAGGATAGGTATATATATGAGGCTGCCAGGGGCCTACTCCTTTGACCTATGGATGAAGGGGAGATAATTTCCAAAGATGAGGAATTTGGGGGAGTTGGGAAGTCACTCCCCCACCCCCACCAAGTCTCTAGAAGCCTGTTCAAAAGGTCAGATGCTGTAACACCCTTGGTGATGTGGGGATTGACCCCTCTTCTCTGTTTTTCAGGGCCGCACCCCCTGTTCCACTGGCATTTGCAAAACTGCAAGCCCTGGCCCATAGAGCCCTGCGCTGACCATCGGCAGCGCACACTCCAGCTCCTGCCTCGTTGCCCCGATCCTTCTCTCCCTCCTTTGCACCCTTCTTGGGGTCTGTTGCCTTCCTTGCCAAGGGCAGAGGGGGTCCTGAAGGTGATGGCAAACAGGCCTGTGTGTGAGCCCCTGTGGGATCCTCAGTCAGCCCCTTGGCCCGCCTTTGCCCTCCTAAGGATTGAAATGCTCATCTGAAAAAGGCCCATGCTGTCTCCTCCCTGACCAATGTCCAGACTGTCTACCTCTGGGAACTCTCGGGTCCGCGTGGTGTGCACGTCCCTCTGCGGCTTGGCGCTCTCCTCTTCTCTTTCTCCTTCCCAACCTGAGCAGAGGAGATGCTGAATCCAGGCCCGGCCCTCAGTCCTTTCCCACCCCATCCACACACTGTGTCCCCTTCTCCTCGAACAGCAGGCACGCTGTGCTGGAGCCCAGGTGGAGGAAGTGGTATTAATCTAGCAATTATTGATTCAGGAGGGACTCTGAAGACATATTTACATAAAAACCATAAATGGGTGGAACTTCTGCTGTGGAAATTAGGCACTTCAAGGCCTGGGGTCTGGAGGATGGGAGGAGGCACGGGATGTGCTCCTAATTCAGGCCCCAGAGCTCAGGGTCTGGCCCCGGAGAGGAGCAGGCCTGGGGGAAGTGCGGGTGGCAGTGAGACCTGGGGCGGGAGGCAGGGAGGCCTGGGAAGGGAGCAGGGGAAGCGGCGGGTTGGGAATAATGAGGGGAGGGCAGTTAGAGGAAAAGCCCAGCTGAGGTTAAGAAGATGATATTTGCATATGCGTCGAATATCACCAATTAGGCGTTGGGACCCCAAGGGACAAGATGGCACAAAGTGGGGCATGGGAGGGCAGTTTAATAAAGGAACTATTTACCAAGCTGGGGGAAGGGATTCTGGAACCGCATGGGAGTGCTCGTTGGGGGTACCTGGGGCTGGTAAGGAGGGGGTGACACCCCGGGGCCTGAGGGGAGGAAGGAGGGAGGAGTTGATACTGAAACCTAGAGGCCCAGCAGCTTGGTCAGGAGCTTTCTCTGCTGCCCCTCCCTTCCCTTCCTCCCTCTTCCTGTCCTCTGCCGGTGCCCTCCCACCACCATTGGCCAAACAGAGGGCAGGGTGCCCCTGAATGCAGCTCAGGCACAAAGCAGGAAGGAGCCGAGCCTGGAGGGACAAATGGAGGGCATCCAATACAAGTGTCAAGGGCGAAAGGAAATCCCACCCCACCCCCCAGGCCCCTCCACCTCTTCAGGGCATCAGAATAGTTCTCCCTAAAGGGTGCTCACTGTCTGCCAGGCACTGTGCTGGGCCTTGTAAAGATAGTAATTCTTTTAATACTTACATCTGCAGAGGGGCTTGATCTTGCTATTCTCACTCCCAATTTGGGGGAACTAAGGCAGGGAGAAGCTAAGTATTTTTCCCAGAGTCACACAGCGGTAAGGAGAAGAACTGGGATGGTTAGACTCTTGGATGAAGGGATCAAAGAGGCGCTCTAGGAACTATTGCCCCGGGGGTGCAGGATGTGGCAGAGCAAGGCAGAAGGGGCACTGGAGTATTTGCTTGAAGCCTCGCAGCAACGCGAGGATAGGGGTTGTCCCATTTCACACACCCGCGAGGAAACTTAGGCCTGGAAGGAAACCATCCTACTGCAGTTCTCCAGACATGGGCGAGGTAGTGGCAGCAGGAAGGGGAGAGAGGAGGGGTTAAGAGCAAAGGGGGGAGGGAACCCCAAGGGCCTCTAGTCCTCCGGGAGACTGGCAGAGCCCCTTGGGGGTCACTCACCTGGTGGCTCCGGGCCTCCATCCCAGTGGAAGAGATTCTGATTGGTCCCCCATCCTAGCCCCCTGGAAACTCCCTGCGCTAGTTCAGCCTTTCGTTTCACAGATGAGGAAAGCAACACCAGGAGGTCACTCAGAGGCCAGTGACGGCTGTGAGCCCAACAGAGCTTGGTGACAGAGTGGATGGGCCTCTGAAGGGGAGAGGGGGGAGCTGACTCAGAGGGTGTGAGCCAGGCTGCCAGGGGAACTATTGGGCCCTTTCATATTAGAAATTTTGGAGAACCAAACCTAGTTTTTAAATAGGTTTTAAAATTTTTTATGGACTAGGTAATACTAGACATATGTATTATTCAAAAATGAAAATAATATAAAATGGTATATATTGAGAAGCCTGGATTGCTATTTTGCTACTTATAGTAAACTTTTTTTATTAGTTTGGTTTATTTTTCCAGTGTATGTTAATGCTAAGATAAACAAATATAAATATATATTTTTATCTCTACCCTCCTTTTTACACAAAAGGTAACATGCTATGACACTGTGTGCACCTTGCTTTTTTCACTTAAGGTCCCTGGAGATTTGTCCATATCAAACTCTTCAGAAAATCATCATTCTTTTCTAGAGATGCACAGTATTCTGTTACAAAGATATACCATAGCTTATTCAAGCAGTCTCTGGTGGCTTTCTGGTCCTCTCTTAGTTCACAGAACAGAATAATCTTGCTCCTTGGTGCTTTGCACATGCTCAGGTGCCTCTGAGGTCTATTTTGTTTCTCAACAAACTGTGATGAAGGAACAGGTTTTACTTTTCAATTTACAGTCTGTCGCAGGTGGATGGTCATGTAAAATTTAATAAAAGTGAATCCCTAGAGAAGTGAATTGAAAGAAAAAAACTGCGAAATACAGGTCCAAATATTTTGTTAAATTCAATAAATATTTTGTTATTAGATCCAATAGACATAAAAATTACTCTGTCAAATGACTATAAGGGTTTTTAAACACTCTCCAATATCTGCGACTCTCTTGCCACAGAGCCATCAGAGTTTATACTTGTCCATGGGCCATACTCNACTCTGTCAAATGACTATAAGGGTTTTTAAACACTCTCCAATATCTGTGACTCTCTTGCCACAGAGCCATCAGAGTTTATACTGGCCCATGGGCCATACTTTGGGGAGCACTGGGCTAGACCCCCAGAAGTTAGGTCAAAGGTCAAATGCCTCTGTCGTTTTGCCAGATATTGTCAGAGTCCCCTCCAGGGGTTGTGCCATTTTGCAGTAAATGAGAGCGCCTCCTTTCCCACAGTGTGTTGTCTAACTTAGATTTTTGCTGAGCTGGTAGGAAGCAGAGGTATCTCAGTCTAAGTTTTCATTTGCATTGCTCTTATTATGAGTGAGAACAAGTGTCATTCATATTTTTAAGCCCAGTTTGCCTTTATATTCCTTTTCTACTGGATTGTTGCCTTTTTCTTCTTGATTCCCAGGAGTTATTTACATAGGAGGACTATTAGCCCCTCGTCTGTGATGTGAGTTGCGAATATTTTTTCCGGGTTGTTATTTGCCTTTTGATTTTGCTGGAGGTTGTTTTGGGGGGGAGCGTGCAGGAGCTGTCGATTTCTAGGCAGTTAAATTTGTCAGTCTTTCCTTTAACAGCATCTGCATTGTGAGCCCTGGTTCTCCGCCCTCAGGTTAGAAAGATTACTGCCCACATTTTCCTCTAGTATTTTGTTGGTCTTAGTCTCAGCATTTAATTTTTTATCCAGTTGGAATCTTTCCCAGTATAAGGTGTGAGTTATGGATCCAAATTTATCTTTTTATAACTGGCTATTCATTTGTCCTGGCTGCATTTATTAAAATCCCTAAGATACCACTTTTATCACTGAAGCAAATTTTAAGCCATTTGGGATCATAATAGAAAAAGCTCTATAATTTGTCAGTTTTTGTGGAGAATACTGTTCCAAGGGAAATTAGCTTTTAAGATATGATCTATAACTTTGCATTACTAGAGCAGAATAAACTCTAACTAACATAAATAAAATATAAATTTATTTAAACAAACAAAAAACAAACCTGTGGGGCCCCTGACAACCGCGAGGAACTTGGGAGAAGTGGGCGTTGCTGAGGGAGCACATGGTGAGACTGAATGTTTGCATTACAGGTCTTCCCCCAGCCTGCCTCTGGGAGCTGGGACCCCAGAGGGGCCCACCATGGTGCTCCTGGGACCCCTGGCTGTCACCCTGTTGCCACCCAGCCTCACACTGCTGGTGTTCCACCTCTCCAGCTCCCAGGATGTCACCAGTGATCCCAGCAGCGAGCAGCAGCTGTGCACCCTAAGGGAACACCCCACCGTGGCCTTTGCAGGTGAGAGCCATTTCCCACTCAGTTCTTTTTGCAATGATCTTGTCCTGAAGGACTTAGGGTCCCTCTGGCTGCTGGAAGTCCTGGGATGATCATTTTTTGTAGGGTACAGAGATTTGTAAGAAGGACAACAGCCATGGGCTGGCTCCAGACAATTTATTCAGGCCCTTCGCTCATTTTACCTGAGGAGGAGGGGTCTTTCTGGGATTTCTTTGCTAGAGAAGGAGGTGTGGACACCCTGGGTGGGCTGGCTGAGGGTTGGTTGGTTGTCTCAGCTCTGGCTCTTCTGAAAGCATGAGCTCTGTGTCTTGGCTTTTCTGGGGGAAGAACAGAGATGACTCACTCATTAGAATCACCTAGTATCTCTGAAAAGCTTCCTTCTGCTCTAAGGTGGCAGCAGGGATGCCCCTCTTTGGGGTCCTGGGAATCCCCAGGGAAAGGGGCCCTGATAACTAGTAACTCCTTCAGTCTGTCAAGGGAGGGTATGAGAGTGTCCACTTAAAGTGTTTCCCAAACTGGGATTTGTGAATCGCTGGGCATAATATTTCCTGAAGGGTCTATGAGTTTTCAATAAGAGTTTCTAAAATTTGTATAAACATTTCATGATCATCTATAAACAAAGCAAAACACAAATACTGGAACTCCAGGGGTGTTCTCCCATGACCTGTGTGAGCCAGCGTGGGGGTCCCTGGGGGTGCAACCACATTGACACTTCAGATCCATTGCCTCGTGGAAGCTCACACTGATGCACTCAGGGGGCCCCAGGTTCTAAAGTCCTATAAACACCTGTCTTGTTTCCCTTCACAATAACCCTGGCAGGGAGGCGGGCAAAGCGACCACCTCCCCTTACAAGTGGGGGGTTGAGGTGCAGAGGGTGGGAGAGACTTGTCAGAGCCTCCTGACTCCCTCCCCAGGGCAGAGTGACCTAGTGCTGCACCCTCAGGCCCCAGGCAGTCCATCAAGAGGGGAAGATGGAAACCAGGGTGCAAAAGTCAATCCGTGAGTCGGAGGCTGGCATGGGATTTGGGGGTCGGGGAGCCTGTATGAATAGGAGTTGGGGGCTGGGAGGGGGGACTGGCAATGTTTGGAAGTGTGGGGTTCCCAGCTGCCGCTGCTCCCCTCTCCTGCCTTGGGGAGGTTTTCCAGCTGTTTTCTCTGTGCTGTCTTGCTTGAGCTGAGATCCGGGCTCTGAAGGCTTAAGTGGATTACAGTAAATTAGCGATGTCTTTAAGCCTACAAAAGGAGCCGCACACCCTCAGATTCCTGATGGCTCCTGAGGTGCTGCTGCTGGCTGTCACTGAAGGGAAGACAAGTGGGGGACAGAAGGAGCTGGATTCTGAGGGCTGAGGGTTGTCCTCCTTACACTGGGGACCCCTGTGGCAGCTCCTAGTGAAACATTTCTCCTCAGGGGCTTCTCCGGGGTCACTGTTGGCCTGGCTGATTCTGGGGGCAGGGACAATGGAAAGAGAACAGCGGAATCCCTGTCCCCCAGCCAGGCTGCTCTGTGTTGGAGCCAAATGGGCTGGGGTGGGGTTGGCAGAGCTGTGGGAGGTGTGTTCCTTGAGGGCCTGGCTCCCTGATCTTCACATGTAAATTGCTTGACTTGTCCTGGCACCCTCTTTCAGAATGAGGGAATGAGGCTCAGGTTGACATGGTGGCTTACATAGAGTCACTATGAATCCCCTTATTTCCTGGCAAGAAGAGATGGCCCGTCATCTTAGACTGGCAGTCCTGGAGAGTGGCATCATCTCCGCTTTTCCTCCCCAGGCCTCCTGGCCTAAGCCAACTCACCTCCTTCCCCATTCTGACAGCTCTGGGTTTTCCTGTCCATTCACTAAATTTTTATTGGATCCTGCTTGACGCCAGACACGGAGCTGGACACCGTGGGGCCTCAGAGGTGAGCAAGAGTATTTTCTGAGTACTCAGGCATCTCTTATTGTTCCTTAAATATCACTCCCTTTGGCCCCCCAGTGCAGTTGGACCTGGACCAGGACTAGTTAGTCCTGTTGTCTTGCCACATCCCTTTACATGACTAAGCACACACTAGAGACCCAATTCATGTTGGGTGATTGGCTGTCTTCGGGGTGACATTGTATTCTAGAGAAGTTGTCATAATCCAGCCCAGCACCAGCACCCCAACTTTCAGAACCCCTCATATGTTATACATTATTTCTGACCGATCCATAGATTTCCAACCTTGTAGCTATGAGTTTCCTTCTCCCCTGACACCTGACTAATCTGTAAATAACCCCTCAATACCCTAGAGGAGCTGCCAGTTGCAGAGTCTGACATTTTCCTGCTGTGTAAGGTTATACTTTCTGCTGTGTGTTTCCTTTAAGGGAGACCTACCTGTATTTCTCTTTGATCCACATGTTATCCATTCTGCCACAGCATGGCCTTTCTCGGCAGCAAGGAGAAGCCAACATGGAGTTAACACTGGCAGTGGTTAATCCACAAAGTGGGTAATTGAATTGACTATACATAATTAAAATCACAGGCGCGTCATGGAGAATGTCATTTTTCTCTTAAAGACGCTGTCCAAAGCCTTCGCTGCTCACGGAGCTCAGAACGTGCTTGGTGTTTTAACGACAGCCTTCCCTCTGGTCCTCTTTGCCTGTTTAATCAGAGGAAGCTGGCTCCCTTCCCAAGGAGGCTCCCCCAGGATCACTGGGCTGCACATCTCTCCCTTTCCCCTTTGCCCATGTTGGTCCCTTTTACATTAGGGGAGAGGGACAGAAACTGGAAGGGGCCTCCGCCCTCCACTCCCCTGACCCCTCACCTCCCCATTGTCATCCTGGCTCCTGCCCTGTTTCCTTTCCTTCTTCCTTCCGTCCCAAGGATGGGCCTGAGCAAAGACTGAGCTGAGAAGTCCCCAGGCGGAGTTTCTCCTGGTTTGCTGCAGACCAGTCATGCCACCTCTTCCCCTGTTTGGCTGTCTACATCTGGAAAACCTCTGTTAGAAGGGAAGAGGGAATTAAAGTGTGACCCAGTGCTACTGTTGGGGAGCACCCAGTCTGATGAGGACAGGCAAGTCCTTTCACACATACACCCCTTCCCCCAGAGAAAACACACTTGAGCACACTGAGTAACAATAACATACACTGTGAATGGAACAGAAAGGGTAGAGAGAATGTGAAACAAAATGAGATCGGTTAGAGAGGTAATAGTCCAGGAGGAAGAGGAGGACCCTTGGCTTAATCTCCAAGGTAGTAGAATATCCTACCAGGATTTCTGAGAGTGGCCCTGAGGTCCGCTAAAAACCCAGCCTACTGGACTCCAGATCCACTCCTTATACCAATATTGCACAAATGTTATTGTAACTATGTGACAATTGTTGCCAACCCACAGTCACCTGCTGGGAGCAGAAGCAGGCCCAAGGGGTTAGCTTGGTTTCGTTGCAGAATTTCTTTCTTCTTTTTTTTAAGTTATGCATAGCACAGTTTTCTGAAAAACATCCAACTCGCAAAACCTCTAGTTCTCCAGCGAGCGATTAAGTGTTTGCCTGTCGTGCAGAAATGAAGGGCTGCTTTTACTCTGTAGTGGAGGGGTAATGAGCAATGATTTATTTCCCTCGGATTGCACACACTCCTTTGGGCCTCCTGTGAGCCAGTCGCTAATGCACGATGCGGAGAAGACACAGGGCCTCACAGTCCCCCTCATCTCTACCCCCAGCAGCATGAATGTTCCTCTGCCCCAGGCTCTCTCACCAGTCAGTTCCCTTCCACCCATGAGGCAGGGGTGAGGGGCAGTTATTAAGGGGCCATGCAATGAGTTGGGAGAAGAGGGTCTCCCCAGAAAGGAAAGAGGGAGTCGGCTGTGTACTGTTCTCTGGGTGTGTCTTCCCCACACCTCTGCCCATCCATCCAGAAGGCGTCACGGTCTCCTCTCTGCCCACCCAACCCCATGAAAGGTTTTGGCCTTGGCTGGAAAGACCTTTCCTTGGAGACAGGGATGGATACTGACCACCCACCCTCCGTGGAGCCTTGTCAGATAACCTGATTTTTCATGCACAGAAGGGAGTGAGTTGAGCTGAGGATTATTCATATGTTCATTCAAACACTGCCAGGTGCTAGGAGGGGTCTGGTGATCCAAGAAGCAAGATCCTCCCTGTCCCCCAGGACAAACCACTGGGATAGACACCCAGGGAGATGGGGCTTTGATGGCAGTGAAGTGGAGGTCTGTGGGGAGAGTCAGGGAAAGCTTCTTGGGGCAGCTGGGGTGGGGGTGGGAGTGAACAGGAACTGTTCCATTGAGGGAGAAAGGAAGTGGGAAAGTGTGCAGGCTCGTGCGGGGTAGATCTGGAGAAGTGCACAGTTTCTTGTTTAGTGTGGCTGGGGTGGAGAGTCTAAGAGGATGTAAATGATGAAGCATCATTCTTTCCATAGATCACTAAATAATGAATGTGACTGGCACCTGACTTGGGAGGACAGTGGGGCCACAGGTTGGAACTTTTTCTCGGGGTTACTGAGAGCTTTTCAAGGGCTCCAAAACGGAGAGTGACACAACCAGGTTTGCATTTTAAAAAGATCACTCTGGTTGCCTTATGGGAAATGGATGGAAGGGCAGGAGTGGAAGCCAGGCCAGTTAGGAGGCTGTTGGCACCACTTCAGGCAAGAGATGCTGGTAGCTGGAGGGGTGGGGTGCAGAGGTCAGGATGGATGGGTTTCAGAGACAGTTGGATGCACAACAGTCAGGGTTTGCCAGTGTGTTTGGTGCAGCTGGTGAGGGTCTGAGGGAGTCAAGGGTGATTACAGGTCTCCCTTTGGGCAGCTGGGGGGCAGGTGGAGCCCTTTTCTGAGCTAGGGAACATAGTAGGAACAGTGAGAACACCCTGCTCCCCCCCAGCTGGCTGCTCACAGGTCTCCTGGCACCTCTTGCCTCATTGCACCCTGACTTCACCCTGACCGCAGCCTTTCCATTCTCCTGTCTAATGCTGGGACCCCTGGCCCAACAGTAACTGAATGCTTGCCTCTCCCTTCACCAGACCTGAAGCCCTGGGTCTCTAACTTCACCTACCCTGGAGCCCGAGATTTCTCCCAGCTCGCTCTGGATCCCTCCAGGAACCAGCTCATTGTTGGAGCCAGGTAATGAGGTGCAGGAGGGTTGGGGCCAGGAGTGTGGGTGCTTAGAATTGGGTGGAGGGAATATTATTTGGGATGAACCTCCTGTGACCATTCCCATGTCCTGGACGCCTGTTCCTCTCTGCCAGGCCCTCTCTGTGTCTGAATGTCTGTCTCCCACAGAAGGGAGCATTTGGGGTTGGGGTGAAGTGACCTCCAGACCTCCAGATCTCAGCAAGCCACACACCTCTCTCAGTGGCTGACAGTTGAGAGCAGGAACACCCACAGGCTGCCTCCTACCCCTTGTCCCTGCCATACTGCCAGAACCAGCCTAGCTGGCATCTTCCCTGGGAGCCCCGCGCAGGGAAGGTGCCCAGGAGCCCCCTGCTGGCCGACTGGCCACCTGCACCTGGGACACCCGGACACTGGCCTTGCGCTTCCTTTATGCAGGATCTCCCTTCCCTATTACCTGACCTCCTTCAGTCCCACTGTCCAGGTCGGGTGTAAAGGATAAAGGATAATGTGCTTCAGGGAGGACTTGTGGGGACTTTATGGGGTGGAGGAGGAGGTAATTCTCACAAAATCAGCTCTGGTAGGAAAGGGAGCTTAGAAGTGGTTGATTCCAGTGGGTCTCAAAGAGTGGACCATCTGAGAACTTGTTAGAAATGCAAGTCCTTGGGCTCCATCCCAGACCTGCTGAATCAGAAACGCATTTTATTTTTAATTTTAATTTTTTTTTAAACTTTTATTTTTTTAAACCCTCACCCGAGGACATGCTTAGAAAGAAGAAATC